GATCAGAACTCATAGGATTTACTCTTAACTTTCCTATATATGATACAGCAGTATTAGCTATAGTTATCATGTTGTATATTACATCCCTAGTATTTATTTATCTTATAACTGGAAATTTGTATCTTTTGACCACTTTCTTCCAATTTCCCCTCTTTTCCTCCCTCCTATGGTAACCATAAGTTTGATCTCTTTTACTATGAGTTTTTTGCTTGTTTGTTTGTTTTTTAATTCCACATATAAGTGAGACCATACAGTATTTGTCTTTCTCTGTCTGACTTAATTTACTCAGCATAATGCCTTCAGGGCCCATCCATGTTGTAAATAATAAGATGTCCTCATTTTGTTTTGTTTGCTTGTTTTTTATGTCTGATTAATATTTCATTGTGTATCTATCTATCTATCATCTGTCATCTATCTCACAACTTCTTTATCCATTGAATGACACAGGTATTTTTCTGTCTTGGCTATTGTAAATAATGCTGCTATGAACATGTGAATGCAGATATCTTTTTTCTTTTCTTTTTTTTTTCTCCAGGTATCTTTTCAAGTTAGTATTTTCATCTCCTTTAGATATATGCCCAGGAGAGAAATTGCTGTATCATATGGTAGTTCTATTTTTAATTATTTCAGGAACCTCCATAGTGTTTTCTATAGTAGCTATATCAATTTACAATCCTTCCAACAGTGCATAAGGCTTCCCTTTTCTCCAAACCCATTGCCAGTATTTGTTATCTCTTGTCTTTTTGATGAAAGCCATTTTAATAGTCTTGCAGTGATATCTCATTGTGGTTTTATTTTGCATTTCCCTAATGACTAGTGAGTTCAGTATCTTTTTATGTATCTGTTGGCCTTTTGTATCTCTTCTTTGGAGAAATATCTATTCAGCCCCTTGCCCATTTTTTAATTGGGTTATTTGTTTTTTTGCTATTGAGTTGTATAAGTTCTTTATATAATTTGGATATTAACCCCCATCAGATATATGGTTTGCAAATATTTTTTTTCCCATTCTACAGGTTGTCTTTTCACTTTGTTGATGGTTTCTTTTGTTGTGCAGAAGTTTTTAGTTTGATGTAGTTTCACTTGTTTATTTTTGTTTGTTTCATGTGCTTTCAGTGTAATATCCAAAAAATCATTACCAAGACCTTTGTCAAGGAGTTTTATTCTTGTTTTTTTCCAGGAGTTTCATAGTTACAAATCTTACATTTAAGCCTTTAATCTATTGTGAGTTAATTTTTGTGAGTAGTATAAGATATGGATTCAGTTTCATTCTTTTACATATGAATATTCAATTTTCCCAGCACAATTTATTAAAAAAGACTGTCTTTTCTCCATTGAGATTCATAGTTCTCTTGTCAAATATTAGTTGACTGTATATGCTTAGATTTATTTCTGGGCTCTCGATTCTATTCCATTGGTCTATTTGTATTTTTTTATTGCAGTACCATACTGTTTGGATGACTGTAACTTTATAGTATAGCTTGAAATCAGGAAGTGTGATGTTTCCTGCTTTGTTTTTTCTCAGGATGTTTTTGGCTATTTGTATATGTGTGTGTGTGTATGTGTGTGTGTGGTTTCATATAAATTTAGGAGTGTTTTTTTTTTTTACTTTTGTAAGAAATGCCATTGGAATATTGATAGGGGTTGCATAGAATCTGTCAACCTAAAAACAAACAAACAAACCAACAAACAAAAAAACAAAAACCAGTTCAAAAGTGTTTATTTGGATCAAAGATTACAATTCAGGTACATGGATTTAATGAAAACCCAAATGGTGTCCTGACTGCAGTAGAAGGAATTAGGGTTTTTTATTGAAATAAACAAAGAAGATGATGTAAGCTATTTACAAGGAAAGTTTATTGGTGCTGACAAGCAAAGACTATATTGGTACTTCATCAATTGGTCAGGCAAAACAGTCACTAGGCAAAGTTTACTTTTATCAGTCCTTTCAGACAAGGTATTCTTGTTCTTTCTGACTTCTTGGAATGTTGGTGGTTTGGCCCAGTTCAAAGGTTCAGAAAACAGCACATACAAGACAGTTCCTCTGAAATGGCTGCTCTGGCTCAATTTTAAAATAGCCCCACTTATGTCAACTTTCACAACTCTGTAGATGACTTTTGGTAGTATTGCCTTTTTAACAATATTAATTATTTTGATCCATAAACATGAGATACTTTTCCATTTATTTGTGTCTTCTTTGATTTCTTTCAATAATGTGTAGTTTAATGTATTTCTAAGTATTTTATTGTTGTTGATGCTATAGTAAATGGGATTGAGTTTTTTTTCATTAAATTCATTGTTAGTGTATAGAAATGCTACTGATTTTTGTATGTTAATTTTGTATCCTGCAACTTTACTGAATTCACTGACCAGGCCTAACAGTTTTTTGGTTGCGTTTTTATGCATATAAATATATAAGTGTATAAATGTATGTAATCATATCACCTGCAAGTAGAGACAGTTTTACTTTTTACCTTTTAATTCTGTTACCTTTTATTTCTTTTTCTTGCTTGATTGCTCTAGGTAGGACTTCTAGTACTACGTTGAATAAGCATGGTCAAAGTGGGCACCCTTGTCCTGTTCCTGATCTTAGAGGAAAAGCTTTCAAACTGTCAGCATTGTGTATGATGTTAGCTGTGGGCTTGTCACATATGGCCTTTATTCTGTTAAGACATGTTCCTTCTAGGCCTGATTTGTTGAGTTCTTTATCTTGAATGGATGTGAATTTTGTCAAATGCTTTATCTGTGTCTATTGAGATGGCTATATGATTCTTTTCTTTCATTTTATTAACATGATGTATTATGTTGATTTATTTGCATCCTTGATTGAACCATCCTTGCATCCCAGGGATAAATCCCACTTGACCATGGTGTACGATCTTTTTTTTTTTTTTTAGCTAAGCCGGCCTACCACCTGTTGGCAGCTCAGCTCAGGCCAGGACTCGAACTGCTGTTGCTCAGAGCTCGCACTCTTGAGCGAGCTCTTAACCAACTGAGCCACTCAGCCGGCCCTGATCTTTTTTAATGTGCTGTTGAATTTGGTTATTGGGAGTTTTTGCATCTATATTCATCAGGGATTTTGGCCTGTACCTTTCTTTTCTAGCAGTGTCCTTTTCTGATTTTGGCATCAGGATAATACTGGCCTCATAATATGAATTTGGGAGTGTTCCTTCCTCTTCGATTTTTTGGAAGTGTTTGAGGATTGGTGTTTATTCTTCTTTAAATGTTTGGTAAATTCACCAGTGAAGACCCTCTGGTCCTCGGCTTTTCTTGACTGGGAGATTTTTGATTGCTGATTTAATCTACTTAGTAGTAATTAGTCTATTTTGATTTCTCTTTCTTTCTGATTCAGTCTTGGTTAATTGTATGTTTCTAAGAATTTTTCTATTTCTTCTAGATTGTCCAGTTTGTTGGCATATAGTTGTTGATAGTAGCCTCTTGTGATTCTTTGAATTTCTATGGTATCTGTTGTCATGTCTCCTTTCTGATTAATATTGTGTTGATTTGGGTCCTTTTTCTTTTTTCCTTGTTTACCCTTGCTAGGGGTTTGTCAATTTTGTTTGTCTGTTCAAAGAACCAAATCTTCGTTTAGTTGATCTTTTCTATTATTTTTCTGTTCTCTAGTTTATTAATTTCTCCTCATGATTTTTAGTTTCATGCCATTGTAGTCATAAAAGATACTGATTTCGGCCTTCTTGAATTTGCTAAGACTTTTTTGTGGCCTAACACTTAATTGGTTTATTTTTATTTATTTATTTTTAATTAAAGTTTATTGGGGTGACAATTGTTAGTAAAGCTACATGGGTTTTCAGGTGTACAATTCTGTAATACGTCATCTATATATCACATTGTGTTTATTTACCCTACAACATGTATTGAACTTCTACTATGTTCTCCACCTGTACATTCTCAGTGAATTCTCAAAAACAATCTCTAAAACCAGTTCTGAAACCCAGTAACATTCCCCAGTTATGGAGTTAGTATGTGGCAGAGTCGGGATTTTGACCCAGGCACTCCACATTACCGTCCCCTTTCAGCTCGAAGCTTCTGTACCATGGGTAGCTAAACATGTCTGTGTAAGGTTGCCATTCAGAAGTGGTTGTGTCAGCAGTTTGTTTTATTGGTCCTTCCAGAGGTGGGACTGGGGAATAAGTTCTTCTGCTCAGGAAAGCTCAGTGAATAAATGGAGTTGGTTTCCGACAGACTTTTAGTTAGAGGATAATGTAAAAACTGGCCTGTAGAACAGTAGCAGGGCTTCCATTTGAGGAGTAAATAGAGAAGCAGCCTACCCAGAAAGGTGAGGTAACCCAGGAGACCCTGGTGTCCCTGACACTGAGGAAGTAAGGAGACCTTCGCAAAGGTCATGGTGCTCAACCGTGTTGAACACTACTGAGAGCTCAGACAAAATGAGAAGTTAAAAGGCCCATGAGATTTACCAGTTAGAAGGCAGGTTGCTCTGCCAGTGTCTGAAATCACATCGTGCGTCTCATTTTGTTTCTATTTAAAAGGGTTTCCCAGGGGTTATTCTTTAATCTTACCCCAATTTGGGGTCACTGTGTGCATTCCCTACTCCATACAGCTCATGTAAAGCCCCTTATCACTGAACTTAACTACCTGCTTATTAATTACCACAAAGATGTGTTTCTACTACAGATAGCTCAACAGTCTCCAAAGTTATCCACCAAAGTCTTTTCTGGACCTGGATATTTAAATCAACCAGTAAATCTGCAATTATAATGATCATTTTTATCTTTGGACATATTTCAACTGCATCTGATAGCTGAGGCATTTTTCTTAAACTTTTTTTTTATTATAAAAAATTCCAGTCATCAATCCTGATGGCTGGAAGAGTGAATTAATAGTAGTGCCATCACCCTGGAGACACGGATGCTTTTAAGAGCTGGCACTGAGGTATGGTTGCACATCTCTGTGGGAATGACAAGTGAATGAGTCTGCTGCTCACTTAACCTGCTGTTCTTTTCTCTCTCTATTTTCTCTCCTAGGAAACAAATGGAAGACTGCTGTGACCCCGCCCATCTCTTTGCTATGACTAAAATGAATTCCCCCATGGGGAAGAGCATGTGGTATGATGGGGAGTTTTTATACTCATTCACCATTGACAATTCAACTTATTCCCTCTTCCCCCAGGTTAGTATAGAGTTTGTTGCCTTTCAATATAGCTTCTTACATGTTTTGATTTCATAGGAAAGGTATAATTGAATGTGCCTAACTAATCAGATCTACTTCTTTTCATCTTTCTTCTCGTCTTAATTTTAAATGTTTTTCTTTATAGTTGTCATTTTTTTTGTGAAGGAATCACATAATGTTTTGATGCAGGGGAAGAATTAGGGTGCTGTAGAGTGACAGTTTTTTAGCTCTTGTAATTTGAGTCATATGAGACTGAAGGAAGCAAGCAGAGACGGAAGCAAGGACAGGGGATTGTGACATTCTAATTTTAGCAGGTGGCTGTGAAATGATCTTGGAGACTGTGGTGCTGGCATGTTTCCTTCGGGCTGATGTTGCTGTCAGGAAGTGGGGACCACATGGTCAGAAGCTTGCTTCTTAGAACCTTCACCCTGTGTTTAGGTTACTGCTAGAACAAGCTTTGCTTACTTAATGTTTTTCTTTTCGGTTTCTTGAACATTGAAATCAAATGTTTTTCTAAATTATATCTATGTAGCAAGGAGGCAAACAGGAAATCTTTCTTTCTAAGGAGCCCTAGTTGGAGAGGGGTATGAATCTTAGGTGAAATTGCCATTAGGGAGCAATGGAGAAATGAATCTTGCCCCCCCGTCCCCCAAGTCTTCTAGCCACGCTTGGTTTGGCCAGATGGTTGTGTAGAAAGAGAATTCATTGTCAGAGCTGGAAAACATCAGAGCTGAAAAACAGGACTGAACCTTTCATGTATCTGTATTAACAGCAAAGAGTCTTCAAAGGAGTGATCCTATAAAGTTGAGGCACAGGCTGTACCAGATCCAAAGTCACACTCCTCTATAAAATAGCCCCTATTTCCTAGCTTGCCCTTCAGTGCTTTAGTCTGATTTAATGGTTTTATAGTGTAATGCTATGTTATTTTTATTTTTCAATAGGAAATAGAAGGTTTAATCATTCCCTTCTATTTCGCTGTCTTGTGCTTTCTCTCTCTTCTTCATTTGCCCTTGGGAGGCCTTCTTGTGTCAAAGAAAATGATTAAGACTCTTACAATGTGGGATTGAGTTTTGTCTACATCTCATACTCGATAAATGCCTTGCTAAGTCACTTACCTCTTCTGAGACTGAGCTTTCTCATCTGTACAATGGAGAGAGCAGCATCTGTCCTGCCACCTCTCAGAGTTGTGGTTGGGATTGAGGTAGATAATGCATGTCCATGGACTTTATAAACTACAAAGCATTATGTAAATGTTAAATGTTAATGCTGTCCATGTGTATATATTGCTTCTTCAGATGGAGGAATGAAAAATATATAATTATATGAGTCAGGGTTTAACGCAAGGAACAGAAATCTTCCTAGGTATATTTAGCAGAAAGATATTTCATATCAGGAATTAGGCACTTAAAAAATCATTAGGAGAATGGAAAAGTCCGAGTGGAGGTGGTTCCTGGAATTACATAGTTCAAGAACCTACTGCCATAATTGTGGTTTAGGGATCAGAAAGCCCCAGCTGCCCAGGCCATTAGTGTGGACACAAGTGCCTCCAACAGAAACAAGGCCAGGGAGATGGGTTCCGGCTGACCTTCTCTTTCCCAGTCTCCCTTGAGTGCATCTAATGGGTAAGATTAATTTACATCTGGAACAATAGTTGCTAAGAGGTCCAGGGGAGGCAGTTTCTAAATCAAGCTTTAGCAGGGAGCTACAAAAAGCGAGGACTAGAGGGTGAACAAGCCCATCCACAGTATCTTCTTTGTACAAAACCTGATATCAATTTGCTATGCAATGCAGAAGAGATAAGGAAGCAATCGCCTTTAACAGCTCATCAAATAGAAACATTTAAAAAGAAATCCAGAATAAGCTTTTTATCCATGAGGGCTTTCCGTCATACCAACTGACTAACTTTGTGCTAGAAACAGATTTGAAGAAAAGAGATGATGAAGGAAATACAAACTAGCTTCCCATCTTAGCTGTCAGTTGTACAGTAGGATAACAGGAAACATTTCCTCTCTAACGTGCGTGCACAGAATTTTCTGTGCCTTTATGCTAGTTGCAAGACCAAGAGCAATAATAAAGAAAAAAAATGCGTTTTTTGTTGTTTGTTTGTTTTAGGAAGCAGAAGTTATTACATCATTGTGTGCATGCAAGTCATAACAAACCGCAGAACCAATTTAAGTAGATTTTTTAAAAAGCTACATTGTAAGGGCCGGCCGAGTGGCTCAGTTGGTTAAGAGCTCGCTCAAGAGTTTGAGCTCTGAGCAACAGCAGTTCGAGTCCAGCCCGAGCTGAAAGCTGACAACAGGTAGCAGGATGGCTCAGCTAAGGAAAAAAAAAAAAAAAAAGCTACATTGTAGTTTTCTGAGATTTTGAAATGACTCACTTATAGAAATCCTGTAAACTCAGTCTACGTCAACAAAAAGGATGGTGTATATCCCTGTTCCCTCATCCCACTATTATTTTTTAGTGAAATATTTCTAGTTATCAGGAAGCTAAGTTGCCAGTTCATTGATATGCTTCACGTTCCCTGTGGGAAGAAAGTGGTATGTGCTGATTAGGCAGAAATGCAGGCGAGTGGGCGAGGCTCAATCTTGTCAAATACACAAAGCATTCCTCCTTTCTC